TTGGGCCTGAGCTAGTCCAGGTGAGCCCCCTACCGCACCCCACCCTCTCAGTGCCTCAGTTTCTCATGACAGGGCGGGAAGACTGAGCCTCCCTGCTCCTGGTAGCCCTGAGCCAGCTCAGCTGGCAAAAGCCGGTTCCTTCTGGAGCCTGCCTCGCTGGCTCAGCTTCAAGGCCTGACCTTGCCAAATTCAGGATCACACCAAAGTCAGCCTCCGTTCCCAGATGGGGACAGGACTGACCCCTAGCTCTCCTTGGCCAGGTGAAGCCCATGGGGATCAGTGTCCAAGTCTGACCTCGCTGCAGTCCCAGACTTCTTGTGTGTCCTCTTTCATGAGATGGACGACTGATGTTTTCTGGAAGCATTTCTCAGAGCTCCTGGCAGTGTGTATTGAAGATCTTTGGCTCCCCTGGGCCTTAGCAAATGGAAGGAAGGTGGAGCCGATAGGTCTGCTGGCCAGAGTTCTCCAGCAGAGGGAGGTTGTTTGCGGTCTCCAGTGTCCCCAGTTACTCCCTGGGCAGCCCACAGAGCCCTGCTATCCCAGCCCTGCAGACTGGGTCCCTCCATCCCCACCATGCACTGTGCATTCCAGCATGCCTGCCCTGCCCTTCCCCTGCAGTCTCCTAACATCCCCTGCACCCTCAGCTGCAGGGCTTGCTCCAGAGGGGAAATGAGAGCTTGGAGGGTTAATACAGACCCCTGCCTTAGTGACTCATGACTTTTCTTAAACATGGAGACCAAATTGCCTATACCAGGGCCATCTATTAGAATTATCTAAGGTGGGCCAGCTGGTGTCACAGAGTAAGACAATGCTCTCCAATGCTGGACTCACATGTGAAGGTTCATGTCCCAGGGCCTGTGCATAGCAGCTGCACATGTGCAGTACACACCCATGATCTGGGCTGGCCGAGATAAGATCATGGTGTGAAGACTTGTTGGGGTGCCTCTTTCCCCTCTTCTTTGTCGTAAAAGAAATAAACTTGCTTTTTAAAGATAACCATACCTGGACTGGCTCCATGGCCTGTTGGTTAAGGCAGCCAGATCCCATATAGCCAACTCCATGGTTCCAGTCCCAGCCTGAGAAACATACTGTGCGTGTGTACGTATGCCCCAAATCCCCAATGGCAGGAGAGGAGGAGAAGGGATTGCAGTGTGACCATGCCCTGTGGAGGAGATGCTTTCTCCTCTTCATCTCTCTCTAGTGACTGCATGTGCCCTCTAATAAAAATAAATTAAAAAAAAAAAAAAAAACCCTCTGGTCCCATTCCAAAGTAATTCAGAATTTCTGATGGTTAGGGTAGGGGAACAGTCATCACCGTGGCAAAAGGTGCAGGTTCACACGCGTGAGAGATAAAGCACTTCCCCTTCCCCCAGTGAAGCCCTGTCACACTGCAATCTGTCTCCCTCCAGTTTTCCATCCTGTTAGGATCCTGGGCACGTGTGTACCTGGTGCGTTTAAGCCACTGGTACTAGGACTTGAACTTTGGTTGACCCTGTGGGATCCAGCTTACTCTGCACAGTGCTTAACCTCTGCACTACAGTGGTCACTATTTTTCTGTTGTTCAGGGCAGAGCACGTGCATGGGCATGGGTTGTGAGGGGGATAATAAGCATCCTCCACGGGGTCTGGTCATACCGAGATCCTGTCTTCAGTCCTCCAGCCCATGTGGTCTTGGGGCACTCACACACATGCCCAGTATGTGTCAAGCTGATCAGGCTGAGGATTCAAACCACGGTCACCACGAGGGACCATCCTTTGTTTTTCCATCCTCTTGAGAAGCACATTACTATTCTACCATCACTGTTTTCAAAACTCATTAACATGCCTCTAATGAAGATGAACCAAGATCTCAAAGCCATCCCAATGGCATTGCTTGTAATGTAGATTGCTTCTTAGGTTAATAGTGATCTGCATTAATTTTATTTAATAGCTTAGCAAAGTCCTAAGCTAATGTGGTTATACACTTCAAGTGAACTTGAATTGTTTGCCATCAGCTGCAGTTAGTCCATGTGTAGTTAGCCAAGGACTACCCTTTAAAGATACTGCCCAAGGTGGTGGTTGATGCAGCTACAGATGAGATTCTGTTGAGTCATCTGAAATCTCATTTAAGCATTTTTGCTTTGCCTTTTTTTTTTTTTTTTGCTATAGGGCACATGCGCTCACCAGAGAGAGACAGAGAAAGAGAAAGTGAGAAAGCACCCCTGGGGAGATGGCCATACTGCAATCCTTTCTCCCTTTTTCTCTCGGGATTTTGGGCAAGCTTCCAGGTCTGGGACTTAAACCGTGTAGTTGGCCTTGTGGGAACCATCCAACTTAATCACCACGCCACTGGCTGGCCCTATGCTTCTATCTTATCTCTTATAAAAAGAGGTGCTTTTCAGATTTTGGGAAGCGAAGCTGCTTGTCCCTTGGCTGCCCAGAAGGCCTCTGGGAGTCCTGGCATAGTTCCATAATGTCTAGATAGCTGGTAGAATGCGTCTGTTCCTTCATCCTTCTAAAAAATTGTCTTGACTATTCTTGGCCCTTGTCTCTATGAATTCTAAAATCAGCTTGCCAGGTTCTTAGCTCTACTGGGATTTTGGTTAGAATTGCACTGACTATAGATTAAATCGAGGGAATGTTCCAAGACCTTGAGACTCAGTGTATTGCCAAGTGTCTTTTCTAAGCATAAAACATTGTTAAAAATATCACATTATCAGCCCTGCAGCTGGGGAAGCTGGTGAGAGTAGCTTTGTTGTCTACCCTGCAAAAAAACAAGCAGGGGGAATGATTTGCCCAAAGTCACTGGTTCGTGACTAAGCTGGACTGAAATTTTAGGTCCAGAACTCCATCCTGCCTTTTGAAGAAAGTTTGTTGGATTGAACTTGACCTTCAGATCCGCCATTGAGGCATTAGTGTCTCCCCGTACATGTCAGTCCCTGTGGATTTTCCACTTAGGACTTTGGAAGGCATCTCCTTGATTTTGTCCCCAGGATTTGGGGTCTTTCAAATGCTGTGAAGGAAACCGTCATAGCCCCTGCTGCTCTGAAGTTAACTTCACCCTCTGCAGGGCGGGAGGGTGAGCCACATCAAGGAGCTGATGCCAGCAACGCCCCAACTATCCTTGGGCAGGGGCAGCACATCAGGTGGCCCTGCTCCCCCTCCCGGAATGTGCTCATTGTTTTCTGAGCCATCCTCAGAACCGCTTCGAATTGTTTCCTACTGTGTCCAGGCCCCAGGGGCAGTGCTCTTTTTCGGTCTCTGCTGTCACGTACATTCCTCTGGAGCTGAGTTTCCATCACCTCTAATCATCCCTGGAGGACTTGTCCTTTGTTCTTACATTAAGCCAGGCCAGCTGTCGCCCACTCAAGCCAAGCTTCACACGTGGCCCTGGTTCTCAGATCCCGTCAGAGGGGAAAATTTGATGTTTCAAACATGCCCCTGTGCCAAGCTTCCGCAGAGCAGCATGCAGAAAATGTGGAGACAAAAGAATTATTGCACACAGGAGGCAGGGTAGCACAGGGCTCCCACTTGGTTGGTTGCCTTCCATATTTGGAAGCTGATTCTTTCCCAGGGCAGCTTGCTTTAACCAAAAAGCCCGCCTGGCTGACATGTCCCCCAGACTTAGGGGGCTGTGTGCCTGGCTGTGCCGAGGCCCCAAGGCTTTCCTGGGGACCTCATTTCTGTACCCCAACGAGCATCCTGAATGCTGTGGTCTTGGCTCCGTTTCTCGGGCACTGCCTGTGTCGGCACCACTGCCCTGCCCCCTCAGAGTGCGGACACACATTTCCCCGAGAAAAGAAACCTGGCCTGTCACCCCATAGCCTAAAACAGCACCTGGATTTCTTGGATACATGTTGAAAGTGACTAGAGATATTACAAATCCTAGCTGGGATTTCCTTTTCCTACAGATGGTAAGTTAGGGTCTTAAGTTGACCTCAGAGGTAAGGACAGCAAGCCAGGACAGCAAGCCAGCACAGCCCAGACCCACCAGCCCCTGTCCCTTCCTCAGGGAAGCGCTGGAGGGAGGATAGCACCCCTCCTCTCCTGTCTGGGGAGACTTAGGTCATGTGCATTTCTACCACGGGTGATGAGACTGGGGAAAGAAGAGGTTAAATTTTAAAACTCTAATCACTTGAATTATACCTTAAAATATGGTAGGACTTAGTTAATACTGGTTTTGGGAAGAAGGCGGTTCAGTTAAAATATGGTAGGACTTAGTTAATACTGGTTTGGGGAAGAAGGCGGGTCAGCAAAGCTTAGGCGTGGGCAGCAAGCAGCTGTCCCCTGGGCTGCCTGGAGCAGGATGCACGGGGGGATGACACAGAGGGACATGTACAAGGATACCAGTGGGGACCAGACCTAGAGGCCTTTGAAGGCAAAGCAGAGGAGCTGGATTTTTTAAAAGTCTATTTCTTCCATGAGAGAGACAGAAAAAAGCAATAGGGTCTACCCCCAATAGGGTCTACGCGCAGTGTTCTATCCCAGCCTCAGCCAGCCAGATCCTGGCATGCATGGGGAAACCCTGGGACCTGAACCCAGGACGCTCCTTGCCCTTCCAATGTGGCTTCAACATCGTAGAGCATCGTCACCCTGCGACACCATGGATGCTGTTTGGTCTAACCCACAGCATGAGAGGCGTGCAGGGGAGCCTATGCCCCAGGACCCCAAGTCAGGGGAGGGGATGAGGTGTCACAGGGGCGGTGGCTGGTGATGCAGGACAGGTGAAAGGACAGCCTTATCACCCCTGGCAAGGAGGAACTCCTCACACTTCAACAACCCCTATGGCAGAACGAAAGAAACAGCAAACAGCAACACTGAGGAACTTAGTATCTTTTCAACAGCCTGTGTGCATGACGGAGGAAAGGCTAAATGGACCAACAGTGGAAATGGTTTTCGCTTTATCGATAACATCTGCATTTTGCGGACAGTCCCCCCCTCAACTTGCTGTTATTAGTTAGCTTCACTCCTCTAGCTTCACTCCTCTTTGTAGAAAAGCCTGAGAAAGAAGTGGGTGGGGCTGACACTTGGCTCAGCTGAGTGCGCTTCCTGGTGGAGAAACTTTCTGCCCTCATCTGGCCCCTCTCCAGAAAAAGCAGATCCCTAAAAGGATTGTGTTTCAAGTAGGCAGATTAATGGAAATGAGAGTTTTAGGCCAAGGCAATCCCAGGAGAAGTGGGAACAAGGATTCCCTCTACAAGGGAGGGGCCCTTGGCTCTGTAGAGGATGTGCGGTCCCCTTCCCCCGGCCCAACACTAGTCAGGATCTTGGGCATTCGCAAGCCCAGAGTGTTTCAAGTTGACTGGGTATCCGAACCCGCGGTAGGCCATGTGGCTTCGGCACTGTAGAGCGGCATGCCTGCTCTGCCCACCAAGGCTAGGCCCACATGTCTTAGAGGCTGCCCTTTCTCGGTATTTGTTCTGACTGTCCCCAAACATGAACTAACCCCATGCTGTCTGCCTGCAGAATTTCCTATGACCCAGCAAGGTACCCCAAGTACCTGCCTGAAGCCTACTGCCTATGCCGTGGCTGCCTGACCGGACTCTTCGGGGAGGAGGACTTCCACTTCCGCAGCACCCCAGTGTACATGCCCACGGTCATCCTGCGCCGAACCTCGGCCTGCGCGGGTGGCCGCTCAGTGTACACAGAGGACTATGTCACCATCCCCGTGGGTTGCACCTGCGTCCCCGAACAGGAGAAGGATGCCGACAGCATCAACTCCAGCATTGACAAGCCGGGCGCCAAGCTTCTGCTCGGCCCCAATGACCAGCCGGCCGGCCCCTGAAGCCCATGGTTGCCTGGGTCACCTCTCCTGGGAGCATTTCTGCTGCCCTTGGGGGGTTTGGTTGGCAAGCTTATGACAGGATAAGCTAAGACACAAGAGTAAGACATGACCAGAGTGGCCTTCCTAGCTAGACTAGTTAGCAGGTTACTCTGATGTGTGCATTCCTCGGTTCATGTTTGGGCTGTGAGCTGAGTTGGTGAAAGCTGATGAGAAGTGGCCCAGGCACAGGGCATCGTGTGCCTGCTTAGCTCCAGGCCAGGCCAGTCCACCCAGTCGGGTGTCTCGACCAGGCCTCAGGCCCCTCCTCACCCAGCTGCAGTGGGTGCTATGTGCAGGGTCTTCAAAAGTTTGTGGAAAATGTGTATTGTGAAAAAACTGCATGGGTTTCGAAATTTGGGGTCACCAAAACAAACCTGTACTTTATTCCCATTTCCATGAACTTTTTGAAGTCCCTTCATATATGCTTTTTTTAAAACTATTTTTTAAAAGTAGATTTTAAAAGTAGATATTCCTACTTTTCTATTTGACTGTTTTAAATAGGGGCAGAAACTATTTTTATATTAGCAATTTAGAGCCAACTATGTTGAAAATATTTTACTTGACATAGAAACAGTTTATAAACATCAGTTTTTACTTCCTCTGGTAGTTTTTAGAGGCATAATTGGAATTCTCAGATAAACTCTTTTTGGCTGGCACTGAGGGCTGGGTCTCTGAACTCAGCCTGTCACGATGCCTGCCACAATGAAATGGATGAGTCTGAATTCGACTCACTCTTCCTTCCTTGATGGTCTTCACAGGCTGACAGATGAGGCAAAGGGATGCACTGGGGGCTTGTTAATCCTGCAAGGGGCAAAGTGTTCCAGCAACCTCAAAGTTGGCTTTTTTCACTTTTGAAAGCCATTGGGGCCAATCTATGGGTAAAATCAGGTGAGAAGAGGTGGGATGAGACACCTTTGACATTTCTCAGAAAGACGCCAAGCAAGCATTGGCTCAGTTTTAAGCGTTTGGCGATCAGGCCAAATATGAGGAGCAAATGGGTCAAATCAGATTTTCAGAGATCAGTACTGAGACCTCTTTCTGTATCTTACAATGTGAGCTTAATCCATACTCCTTCCTTAGGCTGGATGTTACTTTGCTGAACAGTTATTTGTAAAAATTAGAAATTCTTTTAAATCATTAAAATAACTACAGGTGAAGGCTATGTTGGCTGAGTGCATTTCTCTCTGGATTTTGCCTGGATGGAGACTCAACTGAGTTTTAGAGGAAGTATATGTTAACTAAATCTTTACTTTGTCAGTTTTATGGTTGAGGTTTAAATCATCAAGATTTGATTTAGTCTCAGAAAGGTCCACTAGTCATGTAAAGTCAGTCTTTCTGTATGTCTTTCAGCCCTAAGTTTCAGCTAGCACAGAGATAGGCGGTTACTGTCTCCGCAGTACCATTAGCCTGAGTTTGATGGCAAAGAAAGGTCTCTCTGAAAACTTTCAACACCTACCAAATACTGACAAAAGACATGTATGAAAAACACAAAACCAAATAAAATACAGATTGTCCAAATAAGATGTTTAAAGTCAAAAGTATAGCTGTTAGGCTAACCCCAAAGCATACTTTAACAGAGCTGGAACCCCCATGGCTGGCCATAGTTCAAATCCTGGTCCTGGGGACTTAAAAAACATGCTGGGCATGTGTGTGTGCATGCCCCAAATCCAGTGATATAGAGAAATGGAAGAGGAGGGATGGCCGTACGACCACTCCCCATTGGGGGGTGCTTTCTCTCTCTCTGGGAGCACACATGGCCTCTAGCAATTAAAAAAGAAAGCAATTGTTTTAGATAGTTCTGTAGAGTTCAGGAAATTTTACTTCCCTGTCCAACCTATAGGGAAATAATGGTATCCCTGGTGGTGGAATGTTCAGATTATGAGAGGTATTCAGAAATTTCATGGAAAATATGTTCTGTGAAAAAATTATTGATGGATTTCAAATTACTCTTCACCAAAATAAATTTATACTTAAATTCCACTTGTCTCCCCCACAAACTTTTTGAAGTCCCCCTTAGGCCTGTTCAGGAAGCAGAAGGTTTAGAATAACAAAAACAAACATCCATTAATTAAAAAGAAAACCTGCCAGGGCCAGCAAGTCGCATGATGGTTAAAGTGCTAGATATCTATATGACTGACTGTGGTTTGAGTCTCATGAACCTAGGACCTCTCCATGTAGGTCAGCCTCATGGAGTGATGCTACTGTGTCACTGGCTAGCTCCAAGGCTTGTATAAGGCTTGTATAAGTTTGTACAAGGCTATCATTCCCTATGAAGAAATGAAAGATTGCTCTTCAACTAAATGCTAGACTTACAGTACAGCTAAAATTCTGTTATTTCTCGGCTGCTACTCTCCAATTATCAAGTTAAACATTACATTTCTGTATGTGACTTGTTACTAACATTTGTTACTGGCTTAGGTAATTTTTAGCAAACCAATTCATAAGTAATAAGGTAAAGTTTTTTGGTTTTGTTTTTTAGAGGGATTTTTGCTATAGGGCACCTGTGCTCACTAGAGAGCCAGAGAGACAGAAAACATGAGATCACCCACCAGAGGCGATACCATGCTGTAATCCCTTCTCCTCCATTCTCCTCTTGCAATTTTGGGCAAGCACACATGGCATGAGTTTTGAGTTGAGCCACCAGGCCCAGGACACAAACCATGGTTGACAATGTGGGAGTCCGGCAATGTAATCATTACACCATCTGCTGGTCTCACAGTAGGAATTATTTTTGGAAGAACAATTATTTACTAAATAACCTAACATGTAGCAGTTGTTGGCACACTGATAAAAAATATCTATGTCTCAGGGCCATCAGGTGGCATAGTAGTTAAGGAGCTGGACTCCCACATGGACAAACTGCAGTTTGATTCCTGGACCTGGGAACTTGAAAGGTATACTGGACATGTGTGCATGCGTGCCCCAAACCCCAGGAGGATAATGGAGAAGGAACTGTGGCTTGGTCATCCTCTTGGGGGGGGGGGTGATTTCTTACTTTCCCACTCTCTCTGTCTCTTTGGTGAACATACAGTCCCTATGGCAAAAACCTTAAAACACAAACCAAAATCTATGTCTCATAAAAACAGCAACTTTTTAAAAAGTTTGATTTCACAAACGAGAGAGAGAGGGAGAAAGACAGATACTCCTGACAAGGTCTTGCCACGCTGTGGTCCTCCCCCAGCCTCCCAGGATCATGTGAGCATTTGGATACCCTGCATGTGAGGACAACCAAGATCTGGACCTGGCCCTCTCACACGCCTCCACCCACCACCCATGCCACTGTGAATGGGCTCAGAGTGATTTTTTAAAGAAAATTCAAAATTACTTAGGCCTAGCCACAGCAGTATAGGCTAGCCACTGCTGCTTGGCAGCCTGAGGCCACTTTGGAGATCAGGGTTCAATTGCCAGCTCATCCTCAAAGTTGGGCAGGGTGGCAATGTACCTGTGGTCTCAGTGTTTTGAGAGGCTACAGCAGGATGATTGTGACAGAAAGATGCTGATGCACACGTATAGACATAAATGTGCAGACATGTGACAGTTGAGGTCTGAGAATTAACAGGAAAGAGGTCTCCCTGGCTTCCTGAGCATGTATTCTGTGTGCCAGGCCACCCTCTGGGCCAGCCAGCACAGGCTGGGTTTTGCTGGTACAAGCCCACATCTCTGCTATTCAACTGCACAATCCCCACTTCTCAACCCCGAGGTGTTCCCTGTGACTGGCTGTGTCCCTGCCCCACTCGCGGACTAGACAGATGGAGCAGCTTCTGTCTGGAATACTGCTGGTCACTGTGCCAGAGAGAAAGCAAGCTCTGGGCGGGTGGAAGTGCCACGTGCTACTTTCTGCCACTCCGTGTTGGCCCAGGCAAGTCACAGAAGGTAGGCAAGTACAATACTTTCCCAGAAAGAGGATGTTAAGTTTTTGGGAGTTTTTAAATTTTGAAATAATGGGGCTAACAGGTGGTGTGCTGATTAAGCTGCTTGACTCCCACATGCCCAACTCTGATTCAAGTCCTAGACTTGGCAGCTTGAAACTCATGCTGGGTGTGTGTGTGTGTGCGTGCCCAAAATCCCAAGAGGAGAATAGAGGAGAAGGGACTGTGGCGTGGCCATCTATCTGGGGTAGGGGTGATTTCTCAGTTTCTGTCTGTCCAGTGAGCACATGCGCCCTATAGCAAAAATCTCTCATTTTTTTTTTTTTCTTCTTGAAATGGCCTATATATTCTCAGGAAATTGCAAAAATACTACAGAAAGGTCTTGTGTTCCTTCCCCTGCCCCACGATGGCATCATCTTTTTTTTTTTTTAAATAATTATTTTATTTATTCATTTAATTTAATGGGAGAGAGAGAAAACAAGTGTCTAACGCCTTAACTCCCATGCCACCTGCTGGTCCCCCCAATGGCATTATCTTTCTCCCCTGTTCTTTGCCAGAGGATACCTGTGCTTACTAGAGAGAGATGCAGAGTGTGACAGAGAGGAGAAGGCATCTCCCAGTGGGGCATGATCACATTGCAATCCCTCTCTTCCATTTTCCATCCTGTTGGGATGGACACATGCCTCGCATGTTTTTTAAGCCACTATGGCTAGGATTTGAACCACAGTTGGCCATATGGGAATTGACTTCCTTAACCACCAGGCCATGGGCCATTCCGCCACTCACCTGCCATAGTAACATCTAACATAACTATAGTGCTACATCACAACCAGGAAACTGACCTGGCCCAACCCACATTCCCCATTCAGGGTTCACCAGTTTACACATATGTGTAAACTGTATGTGCACAATGCTATCACACGCAGATTCATGAAGTCACTGCCACAGCCAAGAAACACAACATCCCAACCAGAGAGCACCACTCTGTGACCACGCCCACTTGTTGGTGCCCTGCCCAACCAAGAACCCTGCGGACTACTACCGGTTCTCTCAAGAACATTATCATAGCTGGACACATACAGGACACAGCCTTAGGTCGGGACCGGCTGTTCTCAGCATGACACCCTTGCATCCCACCCAAGTTGCGTGTCTCAATTTTTTGTTCCTTGTGACTGTTTCATAGTCTCCTGTGGTATGGACCTATGATGAATACTTTCTCAACAAAATGAAGCCAGCGCACTCCCCAGCTCCTGTTTTTGGCCATGGTGTTTGGCTTATGGACGGCACTTCATTTTCTCAGGCAATTTGCATAAGAGTATTGCAGCTAAGTCTTAATAGAGCTGCATTCCTGTCATCAGTTCCAGAACTCAAAGAGGAGGAGAAATCCATGTTCCTCAGACTATCCACTTACTCATGGAGGCAAGTACATGAAATAAGGAGAGCAGGTCAGGGGCCCCTCCTGTGTGTGAGGGTGCTACACAAATGCTGCTGGGAAGCATACCCATCCCACTGGGCAGTGCAAGGGAGCCCCTTTTATGGGTATCTGTGGCTTGAGGTAGAGGCCAAGGTCCTTCTTTTTTTATTTTATTTTGGAGAGGTTTTTGCTATAGGGCACATGCGCTCACCAGAGAGACAGAAAGAGAGAAATCCCCCTCAACCCCCCCCTCCCCGGGGAAATGGCCACGCCGCAATCCCTTCTCCTCCATTCTCCTCTTGGGATCTTGGGCACGCACGCACATACGCCCAGCATGAGTTTAAGCCACCAGGTCCAGGACTCAAACCACAGTCAACTACATGGGAGTCCAGCAACATAGTCATTACACCAACTGCTGGTCCTGAGGCCAAGGTCCTTTTAGTCCAGAAGGCCTTGGGCAAGTCACTAAGCTGTTTGGTCTTCAATTTTTAACATGTGTTAAAAGAAGAGAGTGGATCAGACTGGCCCTGAGATTTGTTCCAACTGTATCCTATAGATTGAGGTTGGCAGAAGAACCCTGAACTCTAGGCTAGACTCCTTCATTAAGGAAACAATTATGAGAGTTTGCACCTTTTATTTTGAAAATTATCAAGCTGTGGTGGAGGGAGATTATAACTTTTCAATCTACTAATAAAATAAAAAGAGGAAAATGTCACATGGGTCCTTTGCTGTGTTGTATTACTATCAGTACCTAAGTTGCAGAGTCTAGCCCAGAATCATAATTCACATAACAACGAAACTCATTTGCCAAGTTCCGGGTGTGTTGTGGAATAAACTTGCACATCTTCACTCCAAGGAGTGTTGCTGCTTGTTCTTCCATGATGGCACCTGAAAAGAACACATCACATTCACCCAGAGTGAAATACCAACTTGGTCCAGTGCAGTACACACGATGGAGGGGATTCGAAACTAAAAAGTACTGGGAACAGTAATTGACAACAGTACTCCACAAAAGGGGAGGTCCAGTCTTTAGTTCTCACCTCCAACATCTGAGAGAGCACCTACTTTTTCCAAGTCTTTTAGTTTGTAAATAATATTGTAATTCCTATCGTCGCAAAGCTGAGACACTTAAAAATTTAGAAGTAGGTTATGTGCTACAAAGGAACATAAAGAAACCAAATGTAATTACCGGAAACTTGGGTTTCCTGTGTCTCTGACATTGAGTCAAGAACCTCTTATTCAGTAACATCTACTTTTTTTCTAAGAATTATTTAATTTAATTAATTAATTTATTTTAATTTTGACCAGAGAGAGACAGAGCAAGAGAGAGGGAGAGAGAAAGTGAGAAAGCAAGCTGCCAGGTCTGGGACTCGAACCACAGTCAGCCATGTGGGAGTCCAGCACCCTTAACCACCATGCCACCTGCCAACCTCTAGTAACATCTGTTAAAACAGGTCTGATACATTCTGACTGCCTCTTTGTCAACTCCTCCCTACCTCCCTCCCCAGCAGTTCTTTGCCCTATCGAAGGCCCCATGCAACCTTCCTCCACACCCAGGATGTTGCTGATTCTTGCCTTTCTTCCCACTCCACGTCATAACACAGTGTGTGCTTTGATTTATCTCCAAGCATGTTTTCAATCCATCCCCTGTCCTCCTCTCTCTGTACAAAGTTAAAGTGAACTTTAGACAGACTAGATCCCACCACTTTGGGGCTGAGCACCTAAAAAGAAAACTTCAACTCTTAACCATCACTTCTGGGAGTGGTAGGTCCCTGGCCAGGCTCCAGCTACACTGGCCCCAGCACTTGGACTGAACAAGCTCCATCCCAGGGTTGAGTACCACCCCACCTCCTGCCTCTCAGGTCTCCATGGAAACATGGTTCCTCCAGAGACCTGGCCTGTCTCATAAGAAGTATGAAGCAGCAGCCCTTCAGGATCCTTCATACCAACCCGCCTTTCTGTGGTTCTTACATACTTCTCAGAATTAGTATTTCATTTCTTTGATCTGTGTTCACACACACACACAGATATATATATATATTTCTTCTTTTTTTTTTTTTTTTGGAGAGGTTTTTGCTATAGGGCGGGTGCACTCGCCAGAAAGACAGAGACAGAGAGATAGGAAGCTAGAAATCACCTCCCAGGGGGGATGGCCACGCCACAATCCCTTCTCCTCCATTCTCCTCTCGGGATCTTGGGTATGCACGCACATGCACCTGGCATGAGTTTAAGCCACCGCGTCAGGGACTCGAACCATGGTCGGCTACATGGGAGTTCAGCGACATAGCCATTACGCTAACTGCTGGTCCCCAATTTCTATACATGTATGTATGTATGTGTGTCTAGATAGATAGACAGACAAAAAGATAGGGTTGTTTGAAAAGTCATGATACATTTTGCATAGAAAAAATATGTCATGGGGACCAGCAGTTGGCGTAATGGCTATGTTGCCGGACTCTCATGTAGTTGACCGTGGTTCGAATCCTGGATCTGGTGGCTTAAACTCATGCCAGGTGCATGTGCATGTGTGCCCAAAATCCCAAGAGGAGAA